CGCGGGCGGCGCCCACCGCTCCAGTGGCGTGGCGGCTGGGTAACAGCAGGGCCCGCAAACGCTCTGGGAGCGCAGGCACTAAGCCAGGCACTTTCGAAGCCCTTCCCGTGGATTAATCACTGACTCGATTCTTTCCAGAAAGGGCACACCACCTGTTCATCCATTCTCATGGGGCGAGAACAGAGTGGGGCGCGCGACCCCTGGTTGCTTATGGGGTTCCAGCTGTGCAGGAACAACTCCCAGGCCCGGGATGTGTGTGCTGGGGAGGGTTGAGGCCCTCCCAGGCACCATCGTGGTCCCAAGACGCTGCCGGGCACCCACAACTCCTCAGCTTCAAGGTTCTTTAATCCACTACCTCCTCCAAGCAGGCGCTGGCTGGCCTTCCAAAAGCTTGTGCCTCAAGGTAGGAAAGTCCGAGAGAGGAATGATCGTTTTTCAACCCTGAGAGCCCAAACCACTCATTCATAATGAAGCAAGTCACACAAGGGGCGGATTCTTTCCCGCTCTCCTTGGAGAAGCCCCTCAGCCCGGGGACTCTTCAGAGCTGAAAAACCACCCAAACTATGGGCCAGGCGGGGGTGCATCCAGAGGGGCGGGGGAGCCTCCTACACCCAAAGGCTGGAGTTGGTCACCCAAAGCAACCCTAGCCCAGGTTATTCATAAGCATTTCTTAGAAATCCAATTCTTCCTTTTTCTCTGCGCCAAGGGCAGCTGTGGGTGCCGTGGGCCAGCTGAGGGATCCGGAAGGAAGAACAGCTTGTAGAGGAGGAGCCTGCCCCCTCCATCCTAGTGAGGGCATCTGGGTGCTGTCAGAGAACCCAATGGGCACGGTAGGAAGACACTGTACATGACCTGGTTAAGACAAGCACTGTGGCCTGGATGGGTGACTAAGCCTAGCTTTGTACACATTGGTCCGCCCCTCTACATCGTCTCCCAGGTCTGCTATGCCTTCCCGCAGGCTCCAGGCCATTCCTGACTCCTCTTTTAGAGGAAAAAGAGGCCATTTTCCTCTAAATACCCCTGAGGTCTCCACTGGATCCTCATACCTCTGCTTGAAAGGACAGCAGAGGATGGGGTTCCTGTACCAGGCATATTTAGGGCCAAGGACAGCACATGCTTCATGCCTGTAACCCTTGAAAGTGGCTGGGTAACCTCGAGCAAGTCGTTTATCTTTGTTCAGTATTCCTTAAGTTTCCCACCAGCAAAGTGGTGGGATATGTAGAGAAATCTGCACTGTAAACTCGGCACCTGGCAGCCTGCTCACCTGTTACTGCAAGCTCTCCTGCAGCTCCACTGTTAAGATGGGAGAGAGTGAGGGTAATGTCACTGCACACGGTCATCAGCCCTGGAAGTGAAATACCTGAAACCGAATCACCCTGGCATCCTGGTTTGGGGGAGCGGCAGTCAGAGGCAGATTGGCTTTCAGAGCAGGTGACAGCCCAGAGGCCTCTCTTTCTTCGTGGCCAGGAGGCAGTCAGCCAACACCACCTCACTGCTAAGACGGATCTTGCTTCCAGCAGGGATCCCACTGCCTGTTGCACAGGAGCTGAGCCCAAGCAGGTCTTCACTGACATTCAATACCTTGTTCTGCTTCCACTGTTCCCATCTTAAGAATATTAGCACCTGGCCTGCCCATGGTTATCAGACTTCTTTTCTAACATTTCCAAGATTAATATACAAACTCATATTATTCATTTTCCAAACTTAAAAAGTGACACAAAATGCCATATGCCTGGTTTTCTGTATCTACTTTTTTTAAAAAAAAATATTTTTATTGACTTCAGAAGGGAAGGGAGATAGAAACATCAATGAGAGAGAATCTTGATCAGCTGCCTCCTGCACACCCCCCATGGGGGATCGAGCCCGCAATCCAGGCATGTGCTCTTGACCAGAATCGAACCTGCCACTCGTCAGTCCGCAGGCCAACGCTCTATCCACTGAGCCCAACTGGCTAGGGCTCTGTATCTACTTTTAATTTAGAACCCATGGAACTAAGAAAGACAGCATGATTGACTTGTATGGGAGCGTGTATGATATAATAAGGTCCAAGTGGAGAACAAGGACAATCCAGGCAGAGGGGATTGCGGGAGTCCAGCCATGGAGGCTTGAGACCCTGGGTTGAGTAGTCTTGTTAGAGCTGGGGAGAGGTGGCGGGAACCAGGGGTGTAGTAGGGTGGCAAAAGGCTATGCCAATGCAAATACCAATGGATACGCACTTATTTCTGGGAGACAGTGGGGAGCCACCAAAGTTTTTTAAAAGAGGGAAGTGGTTTATTAATTTATGTTTAGAAATACAATTCTAGTGGCTTGCAAGAGTGGATTCATTTTTTAAAACAGACTTTTTAAAAAGTTGTAAGTTCACAGAAAAATTGAGCATATGATAGTATGGAGGGCTCCCAAATGCCTCGCCCCTCGCCCTCACATCTTATTATTAATGTCTAGCATTAGTGTGGTGTATTTGTTGTAATTAATGAGCCAATATTGAGACATTATTAACTAAAGCCCATAGTTTACATGAGGGTTCACTTTCTGTGTTGTACAGTTCTCTGGGTTTTGAAAATGCATAATATTATGCACCCACCATTACAGTGTCACACAGAATCATTTCACCACCCTAAACATTCTTGGCACTTCGCCCACTCATTACTCCTCTTCCCTACCCGTGAACCCCTGGCTTGATAGCTCATTTATTTCAGTAAGTCTATTTTATATTTTTCTTCAATAAATATTGACTGAACTTCTATATCAGTACAGTACTCTCCCACAGAAATATAATGTAAGTCACAGATTTACTTTTTCTAGTAACTGCATAAAAAAGGTAAAAAGAGATGAAATTTTAATAACATATTCTACTTAATATATTGAAAATATTTCAACACTTAATCAGTATAAACATTGAGGTACTTTGTGTGTTTTTTTGTACTGAGTCTTCGAAGCCCAGTTGGTATGTTGCATTTTTAGCTCAGCTCAAGCTGGACTGGCCGCATTTCCAGCACTCAGTGGGCACTGCAGCTCGGGGACCAGAGAGGGACCAGAGTGGATATCCTCTCTGCCCTCACAGTTTACAGTCCAGGGTGGGAGACAGATAATAAAGAAGTACAGTCATTTCAGAGAGGGTAAGTATTATTGAGAAAGTAATGCACCCAAATTATACAGAGACTGGGAAGCTGATTTAGGTTGCCTGGGCAGTCGGGAAAGCCTTTGCAAGGCTGAAATCCAAATGAGGAGGCATTAACCATCAATTATCTATTGCCACAATAATGCTGTAGAACAAACCATTTCAAAATTCAGAGGCTTAACATAATGACTAGTTATTACTGCTCATGAGTCTGTAAGTCAGCTTGGCAGTTCTTCTGGTCCCAGATGGACTCACACATGCATCTGTGGGCGGCTGCAGGTCAGATAGGTGGCTATGCTGATCCTAGTGAGGCTTGCGTGTTTGGGGTCTGCTGGCTGTTGCTTGGTGTTGGATGACCTCAGCTCTTTTCCATGTGGCTCCTCACCCTCCAGCAGGCTAACCCATGCTGGAGGCAGGGATCCAAGAGAGAATGTGGAAGCGTTCAAGGATTCCTAAGGCTCAGGCTCAGAAATATATAATTTCTGCCACATTCTTTTGGCCAACACAAGCTACAAGGTCAGCCCAGATCCTCAGAGGAGCTGCAAAGTCACATTGCAAAAGCTGTGCATACAGGGAGGGATGGGAAATTCGGGCATTTTTTGCAATTTATTTCCCTCATTACTTAAAAAGCTTTCAATTTCACCAGGAAGTTACAACAATTTTACACTACTAATATATGTGCCATTATATTGTCCTCAAAATATAAAAATAGAACTACAGGGAGAAATTGACAAAATGATTCTTATAGTGGGAGGTTTCAACCTATCTTGCAATTATTGATAGATCAAGCACACAAAAACACCTGCACAGATACAGAAGAGTTATCACAACTTATGAGGTTTTCGGTCAACAAATATTTAAGGCACACTATTCTAGATCTGCTGGGCATATAGCAATGAAAAAAACCAACAATCTCTGTTCTCATAGTTTATATTCTAGTGGAAGAAAACAAAAAATAAACAAGTTAACATGCAAAACAAACATGACTCCTCTGAAGAAAAACAACAGGTAAGGAGATATGAAGTACTGGGATGACAAGGTAAGGAGCATGGTCAGGTAGGCACCTCTGTGCAGACAGGAGTGAAGACCTGAAAGAGGTGAGGAGTCATGTGCCTATCTCCAGGGTGAATGAAGGGAACAGCAAGTACAATGGCCTTGACAGGAGCTGGTTTGGCAGGTTCTGGAAGTAGATAGGGGCAGGCTTGGCACTGTGGGGAGGGATAGGAGTAGTCAGGGGCCAGATCATGTAGGACCTTGTAGACTATGCTAAGGACTTTGGATTT